TGTTTTCCTCTGTTGGGCTATGTGTCTGGCTTTGTGCCAGTGCCACATTGTTTTGATGACTATAGCTTTGAGTAAGTTTTAAAATCAGAAAGTATGAGTCTTTAAATTTTGTTCTTTTTCAAAAAGAGTCAAAATTTTTTGACTGTTGAGCATCCTTGAAGATTCATATAAATTTCAGGATGGGCTTTCTGTTTGTGAGAAAAAATATTTATTTGAATTTTGATGGAGACTCCATTGAATCATTTTTTTGTGTGTTGTACGCTTTATTATTATGTTAACAATTTTTTTATTGTTTATTTTTAAGTTTCAGGGTACATATGCAGAATGTGCAGTTTTGTTACATAGGTAACCGTGTGGCATGGTGGTTTGCTGCACTTATTAATTCCTCACCTATTTATTAGGCCCAGCATGCATTAGCTAATGCTCTCCCCCAAAACTGTCCTCCCCCGACAGGCCCCAGTAAGTGTGGTTCTCCTCCCTATGTCAATGTCTTCTCATTGTTCAGCACCCACTTACAAGTGAGAACATGCAGTGTTTGGTTTTCTGTTCTTGCATTAGTTTGCTGAGGATAATGGCTTCCAGCTTCATCCATGTCCCTGCAAAGGACGTGATCTTGTTCCTTTGTATGGCTGCACAGTATTCCATGGTGTATATGTACCACAATGTCTTTATCCAGTCTATTGTTAATGGGCATTTGTGTTGATTCCACATCTTTGCTATTGAGCATAGTGCTGCAATGAAGATACATGTGCATGTACCTTTATAATAGAATAATTAATATTAGTATTCTCTGATGATTTTATTTCTGTGGGATCAACAGTGATATTTCCCTTATGGTTTCTGATTGTGTTTATTTGAATATTATCTATTTTCTTCTGTATTTGTCTTGCTAATGGTCTATTGATTTTATTGATTTTTTTTTTTTCAAAAACCAGCTCCTGGATTCATTAAGTTTTTGAAGGGTGTTTTTGTGTCTCCATCTCCTTCGGTTTCTCTCTGATCTTCGTTATTTCTTGTCTTTTTTTTTTTATTTCCTTTTTTTTTTCTTTTTCTTTTTATTATTATATTTTAAGTTCTAGGGTACATGTGCATAATGTGCAGGTTTGTTACATATGTATACCTGTACCATGTTGGCGTGCTGCACCCATCAACTTGTCAGTACCTATCAACTCGTCATTTACATCAGGTATAACTCCCAATGCAATCCCTCCCCCTTCCCCCCTCCCCGTGATAGGCCCCGGTGTATGATGTTCCCCTATTTCTTGTCTTTTGCTAGCTCTGGGGTTTGTTTGCTCTTGGTTCTCCAGTTCTTTTAGTTGTGATGTTAGGGTGTCGATTTGAGATCTTTTTAGCTTTTTGCTGTGGGCATTTAGTGCTATAAATTTCCCTTTAACACTGATTTAGCTGCATCCCAGAGATTCTGATAAGTTGTCTCTTTGTTTCATTGGTTTCAAAGAACTTCTTGATTTCGCTTTAATTTTATTATTTACCCAGGAGTCACTCAGGAGCAGGTTGTTCAATTTCCATGTAGTTGTGTGGTTTTGGGGAAGATTTTAATCTTGAGTTCTAATTTGATTGGGCTGTGGTCTGAGAGACTATTTGTTATGGTTTCATTTATTTTGTATTTGCTGAGGAGTTTCCAATTATGTGATCAATTTTGGAATAAGTGCCTTATGGTGGTGAAAAAATGTATATTGTTTTTGGATGAAGAGTTCTGTAGATATCTATCAGGTCCACTTTGTCTAGAGCTGAGTTCAAGCTGAACTAGAGCTGAATATCTTTGTTAATTCTCTTTCTCAAGATCTAATAGTGACAGTGAGGTATTAAAGTCTCCCACTATTATTGTGTGGGAGTCTAAGTCTCTTTGTATGTCTCTAGGAACTTGTTTTATGAATGCGGGTGCTCCTGGATTGGGTGCATATACATTTAAAATGGTTAGTTCTTCTTGTTGAATTGAATTCTTTAACATTACCTAATGCCCTTCTTTGTCTTTTTTGACCTTTGTTGGTTTGGAGTCTATTTTGTCAGAAACTAGGATTGCTACCACTGCTTTTTCTTTCTTTCCATTTTCTTGGTAAATTTTCCTCTATCCCTTTACTTTGAGTCTATGTGCATTTTTGCACATGAGATGTGTCTCTCGAATACAGCACGCCAATGGGTGACTTTGGGTATTGTTGACATCTTAACAGTATTAACCTTCTAATAAATAAATATGTAGGATGCATTTCCATTTATTTGTGTCTTTAATCACTCTAATCAGCATTTTGCCATTTTCAATGTGTAAAGTTTTCACCTCCTTGATTTGGTTTATTCTAAATGTTTCATTTGTTTTTGATACTATTGTTAATAAAATCAGAGTGCAATTTTCAGATTGTCTATTGTCAGTATATAGAAGTACAACAGGTTTTGGCTGTTGTTGATATTGCATCCCATAATTTTCCTGATTTTGTTTATTACTTATCCTAAGTTTTCTACATATGTAATTATGTCATATGCAAACAAATAATTTTACTTTTCTTTTGAATTAAGATATTTTCATTTCTTTTCTTATCTAATTGTGTTGACTGAACTTCCAGTAATTTGTTGAGTAGATGCAGTGAAGGTGGACTTTAGTGTCTTGTTCCAAATCTCAGAGTAAAAGCTACCAGTCTTTCATTATTATGATGAAGCTGCAGGTTAAATTCTCAATTGGGACATAAATTTTGCATCACTTTAATGTTTTATTCAAGTAATCCGTAGACATGGTCTCAGCAGGGTAAAATGTTAGAAACATAACAAACTCCTGCTGACCCCAAAGTCAAGGATTTCAATGTATCTTTCCAGTTTTTCTCCGTATTTGCCCATGTATTTGTAGACAACACATTCATCTGCTAATGCCTGATTTCTGTATCCTAAATACCATTCCTTGACCCATGATATAGGCTAACATGGATAGTGACCTGCTCCCTCCTCCATAATCACCCCCAGGTTCCTTACTCTTCTCCCATTGTCGCAGCAGAATTACATTCCACTTTATGTCTGCAATGAGGAGTTGACAACATCATTTCATCTCATAGAATTTATTGCTGCGATACAAAAAAAAAAAAAAAAACTATTGCATTTGAACATGATAGTTAATATATCTCAGTTGAGAGAAATTTTTTTAAGAATATTAACTTCACTATTATTTTGCTATATCCCTTTCTAGGAATGTCCTAAAGCACATATTGGCCGTCCTGTATGAATTCCCTAATTTTTCTACCTTTCCTAAATAGCAATCTTTTCATCATGTTGTTGCTTTTGTTTACCTTCAAATAGAGTTTTCTTACTTTGTCTTTTGAAACTTCCACTACATAGTTTTATCAAGTACTATAATTTTAGTTTTCAAAAGTCCTTTAATGTTACCTTTCACATCCTTTCATATAGGAAATGATATTTATTTTATGGATTTCATACTTATCATACATCTCTGGAGATACAAATTTTGATCACAAAAAATTATTGTTTCTGCATATTTGGATCATTTTAAAGTCAGTGTATTTATGCATATGACTGTGTGTGATTGTGCATATTTGTGTGTGTTTGCACACTGGGAATCTTCCTCGTGCATGTTATACTTGCTCCAGATTCTGGTGATCTTTGGCTCTAGACTAATATTTAAGCCTAAAAACTCCGGTTCTTTTAGGCATACTGTGCCAAGCTGTTTACTGATGTCTTACACCTGGAGTGGTATTTTTAACATACCTCTACTTAGAAGTCTGTCAGGATTTTAGCTTCTTTTTTTTATTTAGGAATTGAACATTCCTCCAAGTGCATTCTTTTGAAGGATTCATAGAGCAACATATAATGTTATCTAAGCACTCGAGAGGCAAAAGACAAAATCTGTAACCTATTTGGTAAGGGGTCCGCCTTAAATAGAGTATTCTGAAATTAGGCAAGGAGGCAAAAGAGAATGGGTGATGATGAATATTGAAAATCAAGAGTGTGAATTAATATGACATTCCATAAAAGGGACATAGCAATAAGGATTTATTCTAGGTTTCTGAATAGGAGGACCAAATTATGATAACTAACAAAAGAAGTTTGACTTGGCATTATTGCGCAAAGATCATTCAAGTTTCTCAAAATGAGAGACAAGCTGCTGCAGTTTTAGAAGTAAATCTGACAGAATAAACATGGGTTGGGTGGGGAGCTCATGCCTGCAATCGCAGCACTTTGTAAGGCTGAGACAGGGGGATTACTGATGCCAAGAGTTCAAAACCAACCTGAGCAACACAGTGACACTTCATGTCTACAAAAATATAAATTTAACTAGGCATGGTGGCACGTGACTGTTTTCTCAGCTACTCAGGAGGCTGAGGCAGAAGGATCACTTGAGCCCAGAAGTTCAAGGCTGCAGTAAGCTATGATCTTGCCACTGCACTCCAGCCTGGGTAACAGAGAGAGACCCTGTCACTTAAAAAAAAAGAAAAAGAATACATGTGGAAATATAACAGATCATTCTATAAAGACTAATTTATTCAAATACAAATCTGTAATGTATGCATTTATATTGACTTTCTATGCATAGGTATTCAATATAACATCTGACTTTGATTATATCTGAGTTTGTGTCAGGCAGTAAAAATTCATATTCTATTGAAGTTGTAATAGAGAGATCTTTCTTATAAATTTGCATATTTCTCAGAAAAAAATCTGGTAACAAATGTTGATCTCATCAAATGTGAAACTCTGGGTAAGAAAATAAGATTTCTTTTCCAAAATAGATAAAAATCAGAACAAAGAAGTCTGAGCACAGTACAATAAAAGATTTTGAAAAAGAGATCATATTCACATATTTGTATTATAGTATACTGCATAATTGTTTTATTTGATTATCAGTTACTCTTGTTAATCTCTTACTTGTCTAATTTATAAATTAAACTTTATCAGAAGTTTGTATAGACACAAAATAATAGTGTATTTAGGGTTCAGTATCAACCGCAGTTTCAAACATCTACTGGACAGCTTGGATTGCATCCCCTGCAGATAAGAGTAAATTACTGTACTTAACTTACCCTTCTGTCTCCCTTCAGGATGGATTGTAGGGAAGCCCCATGGAAAATTACAATCAAACATCAACTGATTTCATCTTGTTGGGGTTGTTCCCGCCATCAAGAATTGGCCTTTTCCTCTTCATTCTCATTGTTTTCATTTTCCTGATGGCTCTAATTGGAAACCTATCCATGATTCTTCTCATCTCCTTGGACACCCACCTCCACACACCCATGTATTTCCTACTTAGTCAGCTCTCCCTCATTGACCTAAGTTACATCTCCACCATTGTTCCTAAGATGGCTTCTGATTTTCTGCATGGAAACAAGACTATCTCCTTCACTGGGTGTGGGATTCAGAGTTTCTTCTTCTTGGCATTAGGAGGTGCAGAAGCGCTACTTTTGGCATCTATGGCCTACGATCGTTACATTGCTGTTTGCTTTCCTCTCCACTATCTCATCCGCATGAGCAAAAGAGTGTGTGTGCTGATGATAACAGGATCTTGGATCATAGGCTCTATCAATGCTTGTGCTCACACTGTATATATTCTCCATATTCCTTATTGCCAATCCAGGGCCATCAATCATTTCTTCTGTGATGTCCCAGCCATGGTGACTCTGGCCTGCACGGACACCTGGGTCTATGAGGGCACAGTGTTTTTGAGCACCACCATCTTTCTGGTGTTTCCCTTCATTGGTATTTCATGTTCCTATGGCCGGGTTCTCCTTGCTGTCTACCGCATGAAATCTGCAGAAGGGAGGAAGAAGGCCTACCTGACCTGCAGCACCCACCTCACTGTAGTAACTTTCTACTATGCACCTTTTCTCTACACTAATCTACGTCCAAGATCCCTGCGATCTCCAATAGAAGACAAGGTTCTGGCTGTTTTCTACACCATCCTCACCCCAATGCTCAACCCCATCATCTACAGCCTGAGAAACAAGGAAGTGATGGGGGCCCTGACACGAGTGAGTCAGAGAATCTGCTCTGTGAAAATGTAGACACACTTTCTGCCTAAGGTTTCAGGAATCAGATACACATCCATTCAGCAGTGTATAGTAATTAAAATATTATTTCATTCCTAGAGTGCAGGAGTAAAAGTAACCAAGGGAAGAAGAAAATCACTGATATCTGGACAAAATTGTTTTACACACACACACATATATATGTATAAAAGAGACGTGTAAATATATGTGTGTGTGTGTGTGTGTGTGTGTGTGTGTGTGTGTGCATGAGAAGACCAGGCCAGTTGCCCCACGTGGTTCTTGCCTGAGCCCACTTGTGTAGTCACT